GAAATGATTTTCTTTTTTCATTTTTTTTTTTACGTTGTTACCTAGTTTGGCTCGAGCTAGGCAGACAATGAATGTTGTCAAATGTTTGTTGGTGAGAAGGCCACCGAACGGTCTCTAGAGGGCAGTGCACGGGAGCCGGGTGTGCGAGAAACGTGGGAACACTATCCCCCGGCATCACCACCGAGACTTCTCTTGCATTTATGGACACCTAACAAAGTTACGCGAGCATCAAACAAGAAGACAATGTATCTTGGTTTTATAGCCAAGTAGCAAATGCACCAGATTTCTAGAAAACGGTTTCTGGTAATAAGGGTAATTATATAATTGCGCAGGGCAAAATAGCTATTATCTCATACTTACACAAAGAGTGACCATACTAACACAAAGCTATTATTTCATACTTACATCGTTTATTTGGAAAGTACGTCGCACTCATTTTTTATCCCTAGTCTAATATACGATATCGTGTCTAAGCGAATAAAATGAACATGAAAATAGCACAATCAAGAAACTCAGGGGCTCCTAGCACCTGATTATGGATTTTTACAGTAATCAATTAGTTAAAAAAAAAAAGGATAGATTGTTTGCAGAGTGAGAAGCTTGGCCAAAGAACGATTGAACAATTTTTTCAGACTTGCAGCTTAAATTTTTCCCATGTTAATGGGGCCAATTGGGCAAAATAGGTCTACCTAACTCTTGAGCATATGGGCCATTGTCTATAATTATTATTTACCAAGGGCCTTTATATATAGTGTATTGTACCAAAATAGCAGGAACATGCACATGCATTATCTATTAAAAAATGAGAGATGCTACGGTTTCGTTACGTAACCATCCCGTCGAGGTTTTTATCCGTTAGATCAACTATCACCGACGGTTACATGATGATCTAACGGTTACAAATCCCGAGAATAGTTATGTAACGGGACCGTAACATTTCCCTTAAAAAAAAGGTGTCAACTTTGATGTAAAAAAGGGGGAGGGGGGTTGGGGGGAGGGTTGATGTTAACTTTAATGACAAGAAAAAACAGCTATTAGCTTATCCTGGATTTTTTGTTCTGTCAGTTGCAAACATGCTGCAAGATTTCTCCTCCAAAGTTAACAATATAGGTACTCAAGGCAAATTCCATAGATATAAAATTATGATTATTATAAGTGGATGTTTCTTCATAACTTGGCAAAATTCAAAGCAAATATGGCAGCTTTTAATGCAGTGTCTAAGAAAAATGTCATTTGGAACACATCATAAATAATAAATAAAATATAACTGATAAAAGAAGTCATGATCTGAAATAACCAAAGTTTTTGAATGGGCTACACAAACAGTAGAGGTGTAAAAAATCCGAGCTCGAGTTCGAACCTTTATCAAGCCGATAAACGAGCTCGAGGTCTTTTTGTTTTTTAACGTTAACCGGTCAAACTCGAGCCAAACTCACGAGCGATTTGTTTAATTTAGTACACACATACGAACACAGATTCTTATTTCTAAATTATGTGGAATCTCAGCAGAAAATAAGGCCATGAAATAAAGTTTAGCTTCAATATGTTTTCATAAGAAAAATGAAAAAGATTTCAAAATCAAGAAGATAGGCATGATAATTATTAGGACCATGCAATGGCAATTCACTTAGTCAATAGATAACAATAACATTAAAGATTAAAGAGGCATAGACATATGTCAGAAGAACAATCTATGATAACCTGCAAAAACTGAAATCCAGCCAATGTTGCAAAAACCAAATAAAGGGCACAAAGTAAAATCCATAAGAAGAAAAAAGAAAAAGAAAATTATAAATGAAACATAAAATCAAACACTTGGTGGGCTGAGCTCTCACCTTAGGAGAAGATGGGCAGCCGAGCTTAACGCCGTCGCCGCCTATACGATCCGGCGAACGTTGCCGGCGTCTGCCCTGCGAATCCTCCGGCGAGGTGGCCCTGAGGAACTTCTCGAACACGGCCATGACGAGGAACATGGAGATGAGAATAGCGGTAGCCACGAACCCAAACGAGACCGCGTTCACCGAGTTATCGAAGTGGGTCGGGCGGCTTTCCTCCCTCTGCACGTACTGCGGCGCGCCTCCCGGCGCCGGCGGCCATCCGCCCCCCTCTTCTCCCCCGACCATGGCGATCCCAATTTTTCCCCCTGCTTTTCTCTTTTTTTTTTCGATTAATTCCTCACGACATCGTCATTATCGAAGCAAATGCCATCGAATTGAAAGAATCTTTTGTCTGAAATTGGAGAGTGGTGAAAAAGATGAAGTATTTATTGGGATCTGTAGAGAGGGAGGGAGAGTTGGAAATGGAGCCCCCTGGGCCTGGGCCTGCTCTGTTCAGCTCTGTTTTTGTTTCTTTTGGGGAGTTGAAAGGAACTTCTCGCTATCTGCTTTTTGCTTGTGTATGTATATGTGTGTGTGTGTGTGTGTATGTGTGTGTGTGTGTGTGCGTGGCCGTGTGTGATGATTTTCGCTCACATGCAAAGTTTCGTTTTTGTGATTTTTCTTTCGACTTGATTGATGATTTACGTCAGTTATCAATTATGTCTGGCTAGCCTATTGTGTATATCGATAAATAATTGTATACTCACAACTCACTTGGTCCCAATGGTCACTCGGCTCGAGTCAACTCACTGTAGGAAAAATTATATGTTTAAATATATTGTCTACCAACAATATTATGGTATTATATTTCACTGGGGTTGTTTGTAACAAACGAGCTGTCATGTCCTGTCCCACGCACGTGAAGCTCACTATAACACTTAATAGGGTGAGTTCAGATGAAATCAAGTGAGGTTTCATCCAAAAATTAATTGGTTGATG